TATATATATATATATATATATATATATATATATATATATATAATTCAACTATTATTATTGTTGTCGTCATCATCATAATTAATACAAAATTATTATTATTACTTATCATAAAACTTTTATTATAATATTATATGGTAATTTAAAAAATAAAAGGTAATTTTATCATGTATCATTACCCATACTATGTTATAAAGCATTTTACAAAAAAACACTTAAAAACTATTTTTTATGCATAAAGTACTGTTTATTGATGTATATTACTTAAAATTCAAGATTACAAGTAATTTTGCGTAAGTACAACTTATTAAATCTTCATTTTTAAATTCGTGTAACTAACTGCATGTAAACATAATCAAATATAGTTTCAACATCCGTTTTAAATATAGAAAATCTAAAATATAATTAAGATAATCATTGAGTTTTAACAGAATATTTAATTATTATCTTTATAAAAAATTAATTATTAAACCAAAAATAAATTACTTTGTTATTAAATCTAAATTAAATTATAATAAAAAATGAACTAAATAAGTTATAAAAAAACAAAAACTATTAAATAGTTAATTTGATACTAATATCGATTTATTTTTTCAAAATTTTATGTTATCTTCGAATTTATATTTCATTCAAAAATAAAAAATTACCGTTTTATCAAACCACATAAAATCGTATTATATCGATAGAGAAAAAAAATAAAAACTAAACATTAAAATCGAGATCTATCTTGCTACATTACGCAAATACTCATCTAGTTTATATTATAAAAAGTTTAAATGAAAGGAAATCAAATACATGGTTAAATCATATTTAATTTTATTCCAAAACTTTCAGATTCTAAATTATTTTATAAATTAATTTTTCCAAAAATACATTACATAAATCAAATATCTTTTTAGTGTTCAATAATCAGTATTCCATGTTTTATTTACCTTTCATTTTGTAAACTGGTCAAATTATATATGTTGGCAGTATGATTTAAATAATTCAAATATTCATGTATATGTGAGAGACAGAGAGAGAGAGAGATTATATGATTTAAATCAACTCCACATACATATCGAACTCGTTTGCCTTGTCAATGGCCAAATGGAGGATTATTTGAGTCAGTTATGTTTTTTCTTTATTTTAATGATGATCTCAAGTTTTACTCGACAAAGAAGGTATTTGGTTCGATCAATGACATGTTTGGCAATGTACAAGAATCAAAACACATTCTACCAAACTTATGGTTCCGAAAGCAACAAATTCCTTAAGTTTGGTCTGCGGTTAAAATCGAGTGGATCAAAATGGCAAACTTATTCAATGACTTTGTCACAAATTATGTTTCATCAGCGTAACGGTAACGTATCAATTAATGTATTATGTTATGCAAGTTTATATATATCGTGTGATATTTTAATCAAATATATATATATGGTTTTATGTGGTTTAATTAGATATTCAAAACAATTATGTTTCAAATAATGGGTCATTGTTATTTTTAATACCCAATAAAATTAGTTAAAATTCATACAAACTAATTTATACACCAATGTTTACGTACCTATTAAATTTGATTTTTCTAAATAAATATGAATTTGGATCATTCAAATAATTAAAACCTACGTCATGCCATATTATTTGTGTTTCAAACTTTGTGGATCATAAAATGAGACATTTTGGTATTACATGCTAGCTGTATATATGTTCGATGTAACATAATGTAAGATTTTATTAATTTAAGAACTTGGTAAAATAAGAAAAAAAAAACATGTCGATATTTAATAAAATTCTATTTTTTTAATATAAATTTATTCGATTCAAAATTTTATTATTATATAAATATTTTAGATTTTATAATAAAATTGTAATTTTATTTTAATGTTAACAATGAAATATTTATTTGAAATAAAAACTTAATTATGAAATATTTTTATCGCATATTAACAGGTTTAAATAGTCATCATACATCTGAATCTCATGGATGATACATCACTAATGATAACTCTCATTTTGAGTCGTCGTTTACACATTATTTGTGTGTTTTTCTTTCATTTTAGTTTTAGTGTGTGTTTCCCCTTTAGGTATTTATGTTTATTTATTTTCGTTGGAGTTGTGAATAAAAGTTTGTGTTTTGATGGTTCGGCGCATCATTTTTGAGTTAAATGTTAGACTGTGGAAAGTGACCACTCTCTCGCCATTAGTCTTACAAAGAGATTGGAGCATTGATCCTCATAACAACAAAACTACGACTCTTGGAAGTCAACTTAGTTGGATCAACAAATCGTTAGTTGGCAAAAGTGGTGATTTTGTGGGGTTATATGAATGCACTCTGTGGAAGTTTCACTTTCGAAAGATCATGTCTTTGACTATATCGTTGCTATAGATGTCTTAAAGAAAACTTGCATCCATAATTAATTGTTCTTTAAATTAATTGTTTTTACTTGATTATTAAGAACACCAAACTTCCTCAAAGATAATTTTTTTATTCTTTAATTGAAATCATTGTATTCTCGACTTAGCACTCAAATCTTTGGATCTCTGTAGATACAATCTCGATATTACTACCACTTTATTATTTGTAACGATCATAATGTCGGGTATACTTTTATAGTGTAACTGTGATAAAATTAACAGTTTGCCACTTTTATGGTTTATAGGAAGTAATAAGCAATACCTAATATTTACTATTTAATAATTAAACAGTTTCTAATACTTTTATTTAAATGTTGTATAGATTATAAATATGTATGTGTGTTTTATGTAGAAATTAAATGCAGATGAAGTTTGAATTTGCTGGGCAGATTCAGCTGAGTCGTAGAAGAAGAGTTCAAACAGCAGACTGATTAAAACTGTAAATATATTTCTAAAAATACCCACAACATTTGATTATCTGTTAAGGATCAGAGAGAATTTTGGAGCTGTTGTAGGAGTCTGTTACGCAATCTCTATCTTGTTTAAGAGTTGTAATCCTCTTGGTCTCTTAATTAATTAATTAATTAACCAGTCCAACTCATCATCTTCACACACACAGACACTCCATCTTCGTCTTCCCAAATTAGGGTTTCTATGATCTTGACAGATTTCAACCAATCTTTTTCCCAAACAGAAGCTTAATTTACAGTCTTTGTTATGTCCAGATTACTGGGTTTGTGTTTGTTTCTGAAATCAGGGATTCAGTTTTGAAGGAGAATTAAAGATTGTGCTCATCTAGTGCGATCTGCTTCATTGATTGTTCTTTTGACGTAAATGACAACAGGTGTTTATAGATTTCCTGCAAGTCGACATCAAGTGCTAATCTCGTCGGCCCAACTGGTGGCTCCACCAGGTCTTATCGACACAACCTCCTCACCCTCGCCGGAATCCCCCACTGAACCTGTCATCATCCTCTCCGTCGCAACCTTCCCTCACAGGTCCCAATTTACCTATACATACACTCTCTATATATATATATATATACTCCCAGATATAATACGTAATAAAAATCAAACATTTTACTGCAGAGGAATAATCCTTGAAAGATCCGAATGGCTTCAAACAATGTCCCCGTCGAGATTTCGGTAATTGTAAGAATTTTTTTTCATTAATGCATGTAAATAAAAATATTAAATTTTTGATGATTTAATTTGTATATAAATGTTCAAAAAAATCATACAAACTCATCGTATGAACACTAAAAAAATCGAGTTTACATATAAAATGTCTAAACGTCTTAATGAAATATTTTATAGGATTTAAGTTTATGAAATCAAATAGTTTGTTAGGAAAAATGTTATACACTTTATTCTAAAAACATATTAAAAAAAATGTTAAAATGCATAAAAACGGATATGACGTTTTATAATTTGCTTTAAAACACTGTATTCTTATTTTATGGTGTACATGTATCAGCAAGATGAACCGGTACCGGTTCATCAAAATCAACCCGAGCTCGAACGGAAAGTAGGAGGCTGGGCTCCGGCATTTCTCCTTCTAGGTACATAATCTCGCTTTCAAATCTAATAGTTCTTACAATTATCAAAACATAGTTATAATTCAGCTCGTCTTTTTTTTTCCAGCAAATCAAGCCTTAGCAACATTTGCATTCTTCGGCGTTGGAGTCAACATGGTCTTGTTCTTGACCCGAGTCATCGGTCAAACCAACGCCGATGCTGCAAATAGCGTCAGCAAATGGACAGGGACCGTCTATTTGTGCTCCCTTCTCGGAGCTTTTCTCTCCGATTCTTACTGGGGCCGATACCTCACTTGCGCGATCTTTCAAGTTATACTAGTTTTGGTAATTACCTTTAGAAACTAATTTACTGAATAAACCACTTTCTATATCATTAAATCATTGACAATCATGTTTAGTTGACTATTTAGGTTTTGACTCTCATAAGCTTATTAAGCTGCCAACAAGCATACCGTTAATGTATAGTGTTTGTAGGGATTGGGGCTACTATCGTTGTCGTCTTGGCAATTTCTAGTGAAACCTGCCGGATGCGGAGACGGAGTAAAAGAATGCATGCCGACTTCGCTTAAAGGAAGTATGATGTTCTACACATCTATTTACATGGTTGCCTTAGGCTACGGAGGGCACCAGCCGACGTTAGCTACTCTTGGTGCAGACCAGTTCGATGAGTCAGACCCGAAACATAAAGAAAAAGGCTCGAAAGGGGCTTTCTTTGCCTACTTCTATGCAGCACTCAACATTGGATCGTTGTTTTCGAACAGCATTCTCGTGTACTACGAAGATATTGGTTTCTGGACGATGGGCTTCTGCGTGTCTATGGCATCTGCGATCATAGCCTTGCTGTCGTTTTTTTGTGGTTCGTTTCATTATCGTTATGTTAAAGCGTCGGGAAATCCTCTGCCACGTGTCGCTCAGGTATTCGTCGCAGCATGTCGGAAACGGGGGGTTCGTATTGTTGATGAGAAGCAATTGTATGAAGTCGAAGGCTCGGAATCCGCCATCAAAGGGAGTCGAAAGATCCTTCACAGCGAGGAGTTCAAGTCAGTCGACATCAATAGGACGTCTAGATTGTCTAAGCATTATAATAGAATACTTTATAAAACCTAGGATATACGACCATACTATAAAACTAACTATCTACGTTCCAATATGTTTATAGAATGTTTTTAAGCGTTTTAACAAGTTTTCTGAATTTGACACTTTTAAAATAAAGTGTCTTATTAACTATCTATAGACACTATTGTCCTAGTTCTTTTATAGGACACTTGTGTTTATAAGAGATTTTTTAAATAAAATAGTGTCGTATAAAATAGTTAATACGATACTTTATTAAAGTGTTATAAAAAACTTTTTCAAACACTTATAAACATGTTGTAACACTTTTAGATATGATGTTTTTTTATTTGGTCCTCTTGTAAAGTATTCTTTTAAGATGCTTTCAATTTTAGGCGTACTATAAAATCAATGTTAGTTGAATTTTTTATAGACTATCGGTGTACGAAATCTTAACCGTTAACGTATCAGGTATCTCGATAAGGCCGCAGTGGTATTACAGAGTGATTTATCGGGGCCGCAAGATCAATGGAGATTATGCACCGTAACACAAGTCGAAGAAGCAAAATGCGTGATACGAATGCTACCAATTTGGCTATGCACGATTATATACTCCGTTATTTTCACTCAAATGGCATCGCTATTCGTCGAGCAAGGAGCAGTAATGAACTCCTACATCGGAAACTTCCATCTCCCGGCCGCCAGCATGTCAATTTTCGACATTCTCAGCGTGCTCGTGTGCACCCTAATCTACCGTAAAGTGTTAGTCCCATTAGCCGGAAAACTAAGTGGCAACCCAAAAGGTCTAACCGAGCTTCAACGAATGGGGATCGGCTTGATCATCGGACTTTTATCGATGATCGCAGCAGGAGTGACGGAAGTCGAGAGGCTAAAACAGTCAATTCCCGAGAAACATTCGAGCTCGATGAGCATATTTTGGCAAGTTCCACAATACGTTTTAGTTGGAGCTTCGGAGGTGTTCATGTACGTGGGTCAATTGGAGTTCTTTAACAGCCAAGCCCCAGATGGGATCAAGAGTTTTGGAAGCTCGTTATGTATGGCGTCGATTTCTCTTGGAAATTACGTTAGTAGCCTTCTGGTTCATATGGTGATGAGTATAACGGCGAGGGGAGACGACGTCGGTTGGATACCGGAGGATCTGAACGACGGTCATATGGACCGGTTTTATTTTCTGATCGCCATTTTGACGATATTTGATTTCGTACTTTACGTTTACTGTGCTAAAAAGTATAAGTGCATCAGTGTGGAGGAAGATGCCAATGGGCCCAAGAAGGGAGAAGCGTAGACCGTTGACTATTTTCAAATCCACGTCTTCAATATGGTTTTTCTAAATAAATAAGAGCAAATACAAAATATTAAATGCCATCTTACAATGTTTTGTTTTTCGACTATATTATTTTATTATTAATGTTGAAAAAGAAATACATGTATCTCACAAAAATTTCTTATAAAAATTATTATTGTGAGTTTTTAATTTGATGAGTTGTAAGGATTTGTTACTCCTTTCGATTTTTTTGGTTTTGTGTGGTTTTTTTTATTAACCTGAATATTTAACCCGTTATACGAGCTGACTAATTCTAGAACGACCATCTGCTTTGCAGATAACTCGGAGTCACTGCATTTGAACCTCCGTGGCCATAAGAGGATTTTTGTTCCTCCTTGGATTTTGACCTTTGGAGCCAAGCTCAAACCAATCAATGTTACGGAGTATAATGTCATATACAAAGTTAATGTTTATCTAGTATTTGGACGTGTTTATCAGTTATGTTTATGATTTTCAAACAATAAACTTTAAGAAATTATACGTATAGAATATTGAATTCTAATATATTTTAAAAACATGGGATTAGTATTTGATAATATGGCAAATGTGATCGAAGTTTTGAAAACACGTTTAAAGAGTTGAAAAAATCGATATGGATATCAAATTAAAATGATAAAAAAAAATTATAATTTATATAAGTATATAAAAAATTGTAATCTGAAAAAAATAAGTTGAATATATAGATTTTATTAGTATGTTTTATTTATTTAAATACGACATATTAAAAAATTATACATATATCATAAGAATTCAACTAATCTGTAACGATGAATTTAAAATATTTATATACTACAGTACTAAGAGGGACGTTCAAATACAATTCTTCTGAATTATACAACCGATATAACCAAACATTCATTTATTCTTTTGTTTTATTTAATTAAAAGCCGATCAAAAGGTAACCGTTAGTGATTAAATGGACACAAGGTTGTATAATAACACACCTCTAGATTACTAAATGGTAATTGATATTTAATAAATCGTTTTGGTAATTTTTATCAAATGTTTATAATATCACAAAAATAATTAAATTACAATAATAAAAATAAAAAATTAAATCGTTTTGGATCAAGCGGTGTATGTATAGGCCCATTGTATGTTATTAGTTTTTATAGGCCCATTGTATGGTCCAAGAAGTGATTTGATTTTAAAAGTTTGACTTTGACCGATTACATTTCACTAATAAAATCCTGGATCTATCGTTTTTTCCCTCTTTCTAGTCCCTTCGCTTCTGCGAACCCTAAGCGCCCTTTACCCCTCACTATCCTTCACTTTTCCTTTTGGGGGTTTCTCCTTCGTCTTACAGGACATCTTTCCTAACCATAAATCCCTTCCATGGAGTTCGGCGTCGCTAGGAAACGAGGGAGGCCGTCAGCTGGCTTGAATGGCAACTCTGGATTCAAGAAATCCAAGCAAGGTTAACATTCAAACTATTTTCTTCAATCTAGATCTAGGTTTTTATTAGGTTTTAATGCTTTAAGATTTCGTTTTACCCTTGGATTTTGCGTTTAATTTTTCTTTTTGTTAAACGTCGTACCTATGTGGAACTGTTCCAAACAAGCCGTTCATTGTCATTCGTATAAGAAGTGAGCGTGAATATCTTTTCTTTTTGAATCGAGGTTTTGTTCAAAAGAACTGGAATAGTTTGTTAAGTTATTGTTTCTGAAGAAAAGTTGATCATAAGCTCTCTAGAACTTCTGAAAATTTGTAAACATAATGAGTTGCTTGAAATTTCAACTGAGATAAAATAATTAATGTGCTGTAACAGACATGGAGTCGTTTCAATCTGGTTTAGGAAGCAAATCGAAGCCATGCACAAAGTTTTTCAGGTTTCAATTCTCACTTGGCTAAAATCAATATTGTAAATTGAATTTTTTTTTATGATGTTTATAAATTTAATGGAAATTATCCTACACAATCGTTACAATTAAAAGCTATATCATCTGGACTAATGGCTTGGAAATCTAAAGTTTTGATACAGGTCATACTCTTCATATAATCAAGATAACAACCATGAATCCATGATAACAAGGAGTACCGAACAGAACTACAGAAATGGCTGTTTCATGAAAGTACCATGAACACTAAGTGCTGGACATATATTATTCCATGCAAATCTTTGGGATATCTTTGCATATTAAATTTCTAGTTTTTCATCCCATCAATGGTCATGATAAAGGGAATTTATCTTTCCCTATCTATCAGAGCCGTTGGGCAAGTAAAAATACATGGTAATGGTATACAGGACATATAAAGCACAATACATGATATGAGTCTTCCTACTCCTGGATGTAGATAGGTATTTTTTTTAAATAAGCATATTGAGTTTGTCCAGTTTAGTGTTCTTCCTTTCAGGTATGCTTTTATGTATTTTGTTTTAAACAAGATTTTATCTTGTTAATACTCTTGAACAAGCACTCATCCTGCTTATCTTTTTCAAAGCTCTTATGCTTTTGGCTTTTGCAAACCTATTGGTCTGTTTCTTCTGCCATTCTTGATAAGGAATGGAGGGCAGTCTCTTTTTTGTGCTTAGTTTATTCTTTTAACTGTTTCTTCTGGAGATAAACGATGATGCTGAATGAGTTATGAGGATAGTTTTATAATATGTATTTAAGAAGATTACTCTGATATTGGACAAAATTTTCATACAAATAACACAAGGGAAATGATGTGCAAGTCCTTAGCGTTCTTATTTGCCACAAGATCAAGATGATCCAAGGAGAGCTTGCAAATGGCCGTATATCTAAGTTCAGCACTATTGTATTTAACTGTTAAATTGGGATGTCGTTGGTACTGATACAGCACTGAGGTTTCTTTATAATTTTGACACCAACTTTCTTTATTTCATTTGTTGGTTTGATGTGCAGCACTTCTGGCTGCCCATTTGGTGAGGGATGTCATTTCTTGCATTATGTACCTGGAGGGCTCAAAGCTGTCACTCAAATGACCGGTGGCAACCCAGCTTTGCCTCCAACCATCAGAAATCCTGTTGTTCCACCTTCCTTTCCAGATGGTTCATCTCCACCTGCTGTCAAGAGTCGCCTGTGCAACAAATACAACACTGCAGAAGGATGCCGGTTTGGTGACAAATGTCATTTTGCCCATGGAGAATGGGAGCTGGGAAAGCCAACAGTCCCATCTCACCATGAAGATCCTCGTGCCATGGGACCTGCACCTGGGAGTAGATTTGGTGGTGGTGGTGCTCGGATGGATCTAAATCCTGCAGCAAACAATGTAGCCGCTGCCAGCTTTGGAGCATCTGCAACAGCCAAGATCAGTGTCAATGCTTCGCTGGCTGGTGCAATCATTGGTAAAAGCGGAGTGAACTCTAAGCAAATTTGTCGCTTGACAGGAGCCAAGCTTTCCATAAGAGATCACGAATCAGACCCAAACCTGAGAAACATCGAGCTAGAGGGCACGTTTGACCAGATCAAACAGGCAAGTCAGATGGTACGTGAGCTTATAGTGAACATAAGTTCAGCCTCTGGACCACCCCCGCCACAAAAAAGCTTTGGAAAACCTGGAGGAGGCTCTGGTGGTCCTGCAGGAAACTTCAAGACCAAACTCTGTGAAAACTTTGCCAAAGGATCTTGTACGTTTGGCGAAAGGTGCCATTTCGCACATGGTGCTGAAGAGTTGCGCAGTTCTGGAGCTTAATATAATCAGCCTTCTAAGATTTTATTTAGAACATCTTTTTTCCGGGTTGTGCCGACTTGTTTTGGGATCTGAGATATTGAGAGTAGTCATTTACTTTTTAAGTTGCTACTGAGATTTACCTAGGGTTTTTCATTTCAGTCTTAGAAAGTTGTTTTAATTTGGCTTTTTGTTAATGTGGTATTGTTTGTTTTCAAGCACTGTGACATGGATAAAGTTTGTGTCAAAAACAGATGCCTAATGGTGCGTTGGGAACGTAGATGAGACCGACAAGGCTCGATTAACTATAGCAAACGAGATAGTAAAGTAAGCAGGTGAAAGAACTATTATTTTGATATGGGTAGTTTTCAATTTTCCAATATGTTTTTCATCTGTTCATCTTGGTGGGATAAAAATTTGTACCCTAATTTGAACCTGCACAAATCCACATTTTGCAACAAAAAGATCTCTTGATTTTTGCTTCAATCTGAAAGAAATGTAACCAAAATTTTGTATGCCAAGCAGTTTAAAAAATAGAAAATATTCAACTACAAAATATAAATGCAAAATTTTCACTATAAATATTTAATGAGAACCCTTATTAGTTTGCCTTCTTTTTCTTGGAGTTGTTATTGGCATGAAAGTTCCTCTTCCTTTTAGAGGATTTCTGCTTGTTCTTGTGGTTTGGTTGTTTCGAAGGCACAGCAGTTTTTGCTTTAACATTTTCTGTTTCAGTTGGATTTTCATCATCATCATCACTCGACTCCTCTTCATCTGAACTAAGAACAAAATCCTCCACAACGTCGTCATCGCCAGAAGCCGTTTTATCGCCACCCTTCTTCTGTTTCTGCCGCTTCTTTTCCTTTTTATTCTTCACGTCCTCTTCAAGATTCTTGGCCCTAAAACTCAACAACAATCGAGTTAAAAGAATACGACTGAAAAAGAAGAAGATGGAGAAAAGTTGAAAAAGAACGTACTTGTGATCGCCACTCGGTAACCATGAAGAACTGAAGACAGCAGCCCCTTTCACGTCCAAGTCGTCATCGTCATCGTCATCATCATCATCGTCATCATCGTCGTCACTTCCTGCTTTTTTCTTCTTACCGAAGATTGATGCTTTTTCGCCCACGATTACACTGGAAACACGAATGCCAAATCTTTAAGAGCACCCAAATGTGGTTTTTTTTGGTGTACAGTTAAGGTATGAATGTGCCAGTTACTAACCTGGACTCGACCAATGAGTCGTTTCTTTCTTGTGCTTTTTGACGCAATGTGGCGACGTATTTAGATAGAGGGCTAGCACCCTTCTTCTTTTCATCCTGTTTCAAGTCGAAAAAAGCCATTGTCCATGAGACTTCACATAGTGCTGAATCTCTGCAACTCTACTGGATTGTTCCCTATTATACTTAGCAGACTTGTTTTCAAACTCCTATTGTCATCTCTCTGGCTCTCTTAATCCTAATACTGTTAAGATATGTGGAACCCTTCAACTCTCCATCTAAAAAAACCCTTACATAGAAACAAGAGGTTCTTAAATATATACAAGTTTTGATGGTTCTCGTCTTATGTGAGACTCCGATACACCCCCAAGAAAGGAGGCAAAAGGGTGTTTTGAGTCCCTAGGTGGTGCAACCCGGGTCTGACACCATGTTGGAGTATGTGGAACCCTCTGAATCTCTCATTAAGAAAGCCCTTATTGAGAGAAGGTTCCTATATATAGGTTTGATGGTTCATATCAGGTCAATATGGCACTCCAACATTTGGTAAAAAGCAGATATCAAAGATGAACAGAGACAAAAGAGAATGCAAACCTCCATAAATGATGATGAAGCAGGATCATTTGGTAAATACGAGATTGACATTCGTTTTTTGTTAGTAAACTCAGAGTTGGCCTCAATCTGCATAGTAAAACAATCAACACATTAGTCTTCTTAAATCTATGGTTTCAAGAAACCATGCTCCAAGCTAAATCTTGCCCACCTCACGAATCAATTGCCTCATTTCACGACGAAATCTCTCAACTTTCGTGGATTTGCAGAAATTACGCAAACGAACAGCAGGAACGAAAGAAAGCTCAAAGAAAGCAGGTGAATAGCTCCATTGTGCTAAATGTTCCGCAAGCTCTTCGATAACAGAGAAAACACACGCTTCCTGGAAAGCTCGAGTCTTTATAGTTGCTTTACTAACCTGAAAATTTCAAACCCGTTTAAAAAGATAAAGAACTAATTCATATAATCGACAAGAGAAATAGAGACAAAAAAGTCGAAAAGTTTACCCTTAAAACAGTTCGCAGATTAACGGCTTTTCCAACACCTCCTGTAGGCGGTTTATGTAATTCTTTCATATCCAACATGTCTGAAAGGAGCACAGCAACAGGAATAAAAGTATTTGTAGCGGCTGCAATCTGATTTAGCATCCTAATGCAACGTAATCTGAGGGGAAGATATCGAGCAGTTGGAACTAAACGAACGACCCCAGAAATTATTTGAGTCAGTGGATATGCAAGAGGCTTAAAATCAGCTTCTGAACCATACGCACAAATAGCTCCGGTCCAAAGCTGAAGGCAGTTCATATACTTCCATTCATAGACTTTCCTGAATATTTCCTGTTAAACATTGTGAAGATGTGAATACAAACAACAAATAAGTCAACATTACATAAATGATGATATAATAGCATGAATATATATACCTTTCTTTTTGTAGCAAGTGCTTCACGTAAAATCGTAGCTAATTGTCGTATGTAAACAAATGCATGTTGATATGCAGACGGAAGGTCCACCCTAAAAAGTTCGTTAACACAATTTCCAAGAAATTGAACGTGTTGAAGTTTGGTTGCGTTGACAAAATGGCAGTTCAAGACATATGCTTTGTAAATTCCTTTGAAGCATTCATCGATACTATCTGAACCAAGACGAATGCATATATCTCTTAAGAACAGTAAGGAGACTATTGGTAAAGCACCTCCTCCAGTTCCCCAAAAATGAAGAACAACCTGAAAAACGAACAGAAAAAAGATCATGAACACTAGCATCTAACTACAGAATTTGATCACACTACAACAAAATCGGCTTTATAGACCCAAAGATGTCTAAATATCGTAATAGACTGTTTTATAGGACTTAAGTTTATAGGACCATACAGTTGTGCACCTACAATACGATGTTAAAAGATGTATTTAGGCATCCTAACAAGTTTTTTAGGACACTTTAGAAATAAAGTGTCCTATCAACACATCTTCTAGGACACTTGCTTTTTAAGTAGACACTTTTCTCAAATAGTCATATTAAAAGACTAATAGTACGTTTTATTTCAAAATTGTTTCTAAAAACGTGTTACGACACCCAAAAGCATCCTATCAACTTATTGCAACACCTTTTACACTGGGCATTTTGGTCCTATAAACTTAAGTCCTATAAAGTCGACTTTTTTGTAGTGACAAAAATCTGAAACAAGGAAATGAAATGAAAAAAATACGTAAAAACAGAAAGTTTACCTTTATATACTTCCTTAGTAGGCTTGGAAAAGCAGCCAGAAATAAAGAAGAGAACTTTAGGCGTCGTAGAGTGAAAGCTATCATATCTGAGTCGGTCATTTGGTTCAAAACATGAAGAGCGTTACCAAGATACGCCTTCACTAGATGATTGTAGTTTTTCCATGCTCGTGTGTTCATTAACTCAAGGATCATTTCCTTCTTTCCTCCGGAAAGTGGGAGTTTCAGCATTGTTCGAAGGATTCCATCCATTTCGCTTAATACAAATAACAGGATTTTATTGAAGACTGGAAAGGACATGGAACTCAACTTTGACTCACTATCATCATCACCACAATGGCAAGCACTGCGAAAAGCTCTCATAATAGAACGAATTGCACCGATTCTACGCTCTTCCCGAATTGCTTTACACCACGAGTCTACCATTTCGCTGGTTACTGTCTTTGTAGAGGGTTTCACATCCTTCTTTGCTAAACCATCTGCCCGATCCATCGGATCATCTTCTTCATCTTCACCTTCTTGAGTGTCCTCATCATCCATGTCAGATTCAGCATCCCCCTACACATGATCACATAGAAATTAAATTAGGGTGATAAAAATAAATTAACAGCTAAATACAATCCAAATTGACCCAATATATAGGTCTACAGTAGGATGTACGTAGAACTGTCATCTACCCCGAAGAGTAGACGAGTTGTTTCCAAGAAGACCCCGGCTTGTGCAAGAGTGTAAAAACATTTGCACAAGCACAACAAATACCCAAATTGTCTTTTAAGACATGCATGAATGATAAATCAAGAAAAAGAAACGGGTGGCAGTGATTAAATAGTTACTCTTCTAATCCAAGGATATCTTACACTTCACCTCAAGACGTTTTGAATATCATAAAAAATATATATATCCCGGAAGAAGGGAGTGTTTGGATGAGCATCCAAGTGATTATTGAGATAAATATAAAATTACATAATATCACCAACTCTAATCAACTGTTTATCTGATTATGATTATTCAAGTGACGATAATCACTCTATAAACACACATCCAAACCCCCACGAATATTTCACAAGAAAACTACAAAACAACGTGTTCACAATATGGGGAAAAACAGGTAAAACTATGAAAATATAACACATAAAACAAACTAAATCAACCAACACATATCTAGGAGTGATGTTTGTGTAACCGCTGATTTGTGCACCAACTAGCCATAGTTGGCAACCTCCTAAATATATAACTCAAGTCTGTTAACTAGAAGCACATTCCATAATTGACTTACCTCGTCATCGAATTCAAGAAGCTCTTTGTCATGTTCCTTCAAGAATTCATAGAACTCTGGATCCTGTGGGGAAGAAAAAGGAACAAGATTTGATCACAATTTGAACACTAACACAATAAAATCATGAAAAACCTCCAGAATAGCATGTTTTTGCCAGATTATTAAAGCTATATGCATACCTCATTGCATATATTTTCAGTCATAACATATGTATGCTACTGAAGGGATTAAAAATATCTTCTAAATACTTAAAATGCATCACTAGCCAAAGTCTAAATTGTACAGATTGAAGTGAAATTTACAAACATCAAACAATGAATAAGAATGAAAACCAATCTACATTCCACGGAATCAAAAAGTAACAGAACTTGTAACCCTAACCCTAAAACCAAAAACCATAACAAAGTTCTTTCATAAGGTTGTTGATAGAATCATTCCCCACATTCCCAAAAGGGGTATGCTCCAATTTTGGAGCTCAAAAGGGCTGCATTTTAACTTCAAAAGTGATAATAAGAACTTAAACTTTTAGAAGAAACTGCTCATCTGATACAATAACGCCCTTAGTTGTTTATCAACAGAATTCCTCCTACTTTATGATTTAAATAAGAAAGATTAACTCAGGCATGAATTGTGTTCACCTTTTCTGAAAGCCTTTGTAACTGACTCTTATGTTCGCTTGCATTTTCCACAGACTTCAAAGGTACTTCCTCTGTAGTATCTCCCTTCTGTTCATCTTTAACTGAATCCTTCTTCACCTTTTTGTCTAAAATTAGCATCAAATCCCATAATAGGAGGCAAAACAACTCAGTATCATGACCTCTTTATGAAGATAAAAACAACAAACCCACAAATTTGAAGGAATTGGAGTAGAGAATAAACCTTTCTTCTTTGAACCCATGTTGCTTATATCAACTGGAGCAAAACAAAGAGAATGTAGGGATAGTTGGGAATCGAGCAGCAAAGCAACGGGGTGAAAGCGGCAGAGGGTGGCGAGCGGACAGGAGGAGGCAAAGAACAACGATCAGAAAATCGAGACGACCGGAGCAAGGGCTGAAGAGGGATACACCATTTGTGGGCAATACCCACTTGGGCTTCTGCCTTTTTGGGCTTATGTTTTTTTGGGTTATAAGAGAGAGCGAAATCGGGCCGGCCCCAAATTGATTCCGATTCAAGAAAATGATTTTATTAAAGCTCAGTCAATATTACGATTATTTGGATGAAAATGATTTTCAATATTTTGGTATACTAGAAGAGTACTCGCGTAATGCAGCGAGATATATCTCGATTTTAGTGTTCTATTTTATTATTTGTCTCTGTCGATGTTATAATACGATTTTATGTGTTTTTAAGAAAACAATAATGATTTTATTTTTGAATA